GTTTTAAACGAGCCTAAGGGACATTTATTGTGTCTGATAACCTTAGATTTTTGGCAGCTTACACAGGAGCGTGCCCACTCCCTCACGTCTTTATTCATGCCAGGCCAGCAAAATCGTTCTGCTATAAGCTTGATGGTTGCACGAACATCTGGATGAGAAAGTTTGTGCAATGTATTGAAGACATTGCGTCGATAATGCTTCGGCACGATTGGGCGATCCCTGCCTGTAGATGTGTCACACGTAGTCGAGAAGTTCGTGTATCTGGGTAGCTGCATAAGTGCTGGTGGGGGTGTGAGTGATGAGATCAATGCAAGTATAGTGAAAGCCAGAGTGGTTTATGCCAATCTGGGCCATCTATGGCGCCTTCGTGATGTTAGTCTGGACGTAAAAGGTCGGATCTACAACGCGTCGGTGAGAGCAGTTTTGCTCTGTGCTTGTGAAACCTGATCTCTCCGAGTTGAGGACGTTAGACGACTCTCTGTGTTCGATCATCGCTGTCTCCGAAGGATTGCTGACATTCAGTGGCAACACCATGTCAGTAATGCAGAGGTTCGGCATCGTGTGTTCGGGCACAGAGATGATAATTCAATTGGTGTCACCGTCTTGAAACACCGACTTCGGTGGCTTGGACATGTCGTCCCAGAGGATTCAACGTCGTGCATTATTTACCGACTCTGGGAGCGGTTGGAAGAAGCGGAGAGGTGGTCAGTGCATGACATGGTGTCGTGGCATGAAAGAAAGCTGCATAGGACTGGCTTCTGTCGGTCCTTCACGACTCCCTGGTTGGGGTCTGAGAGATGGTGCTACACAGTGGCTAGAGACGTTATCAGATATTGCTCAGAATAGAAGCCAGTGGCGATCCTGCTGTAACCTTCTTTTACTTTCTTCATAAAATGTGGTTCTGTCTCCCTTACCTGAAAGATTTCTTCCGATTGTACCTTTGCGTTCCCTGATTACTAGCACATTACCTTACACCAATCTCTTCGTTATTGTTCTCTCTTTTTTTGTTGCGCTCCTTAGCTTTTTTTTCTTTGTATTCCTCTCGAATTCTCATTGTTTTGTGTGTATTGGCACTCTCTTGTACCAATATTCATGTGTCCAAATAAATAAATAAATAAATAAAGATGTGTCACACAGTAAGGTTTCCTTACCTGTTCCCATCTGTTTGATGCGTAGTTTAAGGGTTGTGGACGATAACTCGTGCTGAAGATCAGTGTCTTCTTTTTGAAGCTCGGCGAGTTTAAGAAGGTCGATTCCTTGGAAACTGTTCAAGGAAGTTATGCGAGATAAGGCGTCTGCAACTACATTGTTTGCTCCAGAAATATGTTGAATATCTGAAGTAAACTGCGAAATGTAGTCCAGTTGTCGAGACTCACGGGGAGAGTACTTGTCAGAAGGAGAGCTTAACGAGAAAGTGAGCGGTTTATGGTCCGTGAAAAGAGTGAATTCACGGCCTTCGATATAGTGTTGGAAATGCCGTACAGCACAATACATAGCTAGGAGTTCCCTACCGAATGTGCTGTACCTCGATTCGGTGTCTAGCAACCTTCTAGAGAAAAATGCCAAGGGTTGCCAGGAGTTGTTAACCCATTGTTGTAAGACTCCTCCGATTGCTGAGTCGGATGCGTCTACTGCGATGCTAATGGGTGCTCGGGTGTCCTGATGTGCGAGCATTGTTGCTTTAGCAATCAGTTCCTTAACTGTGGAGAATGCTTTTCGTGCGGTGTCGTCCAAATTAATGGATTTCGCATTTCCACGAAGTTGGTCGGTCAGAGGTTTCATAAGTAATGCGCATTTCGGTATGAAACGTCTATAGAAACTTACCAGGCCGTTGAACGTGCGTAATTGCTTGACGGTGGTCGGTTCTGGGTAATCCAGAATGGCCGCCACTTTGGTTCTAAGGGGTCGGATACCTTGAGCATCGATAGTGTGTCCCAGAAAGTCTAACGAGTCGGTTCCGAATTGGCATTTCTGAACGTTTACAGTTATGCCATGTTTTTGTAATCGTTCGAAAACAAGATCCAGATGCTTGAGATGTGTTTCTCTGTCCGGACTTGCGATTAGACAGTCGTCAACATACGCGTGTACGAAGTTGAGACCTCGAAAAACGTCGTCTATGAATCTTTGGAATGTTTGAGCAGCATTCCTTAGACCGAAAGGCATTCGCAAAAATTCATAGAGTCCGAAGGGAGTTATGATAGCTGTTTTCGGTATGTCGTCAGTAGCCATAGGGATTTGGTTATACGCTTTAACCAAGTCGATTTTCGAAAAGACAGTTGTACCTTTCAAGGTAGCTGTGAATATGAGGCAACGGGTAACGATCGGGAATGGTTTTCGCGTTCAATCGCCGATAGTCACCAGTTGGACGCCAATCGTTGCTGTCCTTTTTAGGGACCATGTGCAACGGAGATGCATATGGGCTACTTGACGGTCGTATGATTCCTAAGTCCATCATGTGATCGAATTCGTTTTTCGCTAACCTTAGCTTTTCAGGAGCTAGTCGTCGTGCTTTAGAGAATACAGGTGGTCCTGTAGTCGTGATGTGATGTGTAACATTGCTGGTTACACACGGTAGTTTCGGTTGAGTTTGTTGTATCCCAGGGTACTTATCGAGTAGTGGTTGATAGAGTGGGTCTATCATATGCTTAACTGTGACTGGGGATACTCTACAACCAGTAAAAGAAGTTACGCAAACGGACAAATTAGTGTTTCCGTCTACTAGCCTCCGTTTGCGAGTGTCGATGATCAGATTGTGGTGTTGTAGAAGGTCCATACCAATGATTGGCATAGAAACATCTGCAACGACGAAAATCCAGTGGATGGGTTTGCGTAAACCCACGTTAAGGTAAACGTACCTTTTGCCATACGTAGCGATCGGTTTTCCGTTTGCCGCCTGTAAGTTTAAGTCGATTCGTGAAGTCGGTCGTTAGGATTTGCTGGGAGAACGCTAACTTCTGCGCCAGTGTCGACGAGGTAGCGAACTCTCGTTGTCACATCTGTGACGAATAACAGACGGCTATGTTCGCCGGCTACGGTTGCCGTTAACGCGTGCCGGCTTGGAAGTTTCCCGAATTGTTTTTCGAATCAGTCGGTTTCGTGTTGGGAAAATTGCAGGGTTTTCTGCAATTTCTGGAAAACTTTCCATACTGGTTATGATACCAGCACCAGTCGGGGTTATCTGTCTCTCGTGGTCTAGAGACAGATCGCTTACGAGAAATGCTTCTACGTGGTGTGCGCGATCTCTTACGGTCGGTACGAAGACTAAGATAACGCGTGAGTGTGTGACATAAGTCGGTTATGTCATTCTGAGTCGTGTGAGGCTTTTCTTTGACTGAAAATACCTCGGTAGTAGAAGGTTTCGTAATTTCTAGAATGCGGTCGGCAGATGCAGCTAGCTCGTCTAAGGCGTTGTTCTGGAACGAGACCAGAACTGCTTGCACCTGTTGGGGAAGTTTTGACAAGAAGAGTTGTTTGAATAGACCTTCGTCGAAAGTTCTTGGGCCTATAACCTCTCTCATCCGTTGCAACATGTCCGTCGCAGAACCGTGTTGCAGGTCGATGTTATTGAAGAGTTGATCTAACCTTTGTCGATCGGTTAGGTCTCCTCGTTTAAGAATCGAGCGTTTTAAGATTTCGTAAGGATCGGAAACATCACTAGTAAACATACTAGGTGTTACGTACCTGTTGAATTCCGCGGTAGTGCCTTGACTACTGCGAGGAATTGTGCACGTGTGTCGATCACGCCGTGCTCGGAGAAGTCGGCTTCTGCGTAGCAAAACCAGGCTTCGATGTTGTCGGGCCAGAAAGGCATCAGTTGAAACGAAGGTGGGGACAAGGTCTTAAGCTTGAGTACTTTAGGTGTCTGTTCAGTCATGATGAAATATGAAGTACGATAATGAACGAGGGGAAAATATATATATCCAAGAAAAACACGAAAAAAATCACAATGTTTAAAAAAAAAAAAAATAAGGCAATGATATATAAAAATCCCAAAAAGGAACAGACTCACAGTTGCAATAAGGTGTACCAGATCACGACGGTCTCACCAATGATGATGTCACAGGTATTCAGTGTTTGACAACGCTTCTACCAGTAACACCTTCTAAGATATTTCGTTCCCACCAAGAGAAATCAAAAGACAGAGTCGAGGAGATCGGAAGAGTATATTTGGCGATGACCAATATATCGGAATTCTCTGATCTAATCTGGCTAGCGATTGCGGTTGATGTTGAGCACGGCGTTACCACACGTGATCTGGTGCGGATGCCTGACCGAGCGCCTTCAGCTAGATGAGTCCACTAAAACATATGGTCAGCATCCAATGTCGAAAACTTAGAGCTATTTATTTTTGGGATTTATTTACCGCTACAAGGTCATTATGAATTAAGCTTCTTCATCCTAATCTCCCGACTTTGAGAAATTTTTCGGGGGAAATGCGACAAAATTCACGAAATGTCCTCTGGTCAGCGATTTTCCTTTGTAATTTCGAGTGTTTTGTGTAGATCGCCAAAAACCTCAGTGATATTTTGGATTTTCACCAATGTTCCACAGACTTTATCGAAATCTATGAATTTTCACATGACTTTGGAGAAAACCCAAAAAGCCGGAGATTGGGAAATCCCGAACGCTTGCAGCATCTTTATGTTTGCCCGCAAAACATTTTTAACTGATGTTAACTGAGGTGGAAGATGTGCAAGAAATAATATTACACATACCCTAAATATCTCTGAGCAGTAAGTATGAGTTATATCCAATTTCTGATACGACAGACACAAATGAAATGCAATTTCTCACGACGCAAAATATTCGTTTCATTTTTTAAAGTTGTTCACAGACAGTTATCGTCGTCACCAACCCAGAAACTGTGCTAAAAAGAACGGATTTGATTTTTCTGCTACTCACTGAACAAAAGTTAAGGTTTCAACAAAGTATCACCTTGAGTTATGTGCGTGCTTCAAAGTAAAATGTGCTTTGCGCGTTACAAGTGATATCCTGGAGTTATGAACGCGTTAATGGATAGTACCGTAAGAAAACATTTCAGATCTACCACTCTGGTTTCTTTCAACCGAGTCTTTAAGCACTTACAATCTATTTTAGAGTTACCGTAACGAAGCTAACAACTGCGGTATTGTAAGTGCCACTTCAACCTCTGAAGGTGCGTCTCACCAAATTTTTCATATTTGATTTCACCAACCGACTTCAGTTATTCGGTTTTGTGCTTGCGCAGCAAAGTTGAGTCTTATGTCTTATACTCTCTCTGGTGGCGTCTCCTGAGGGTTCTGACACCTGTTTTGATAACTAAGCCATTTTAGCGAAGCTACTACGTTATCAGATTGTTAAGTGTTTCATTTTTTTATCATGTATTTTCATTTTCTGTCGGCGAAATAGTTTTAGTGGTGTACTTCTGACTTTTGTAAGTAATAGAAATTGGTTAGTCTATGATGGTCGTTTACACTCATATGATGACAGCGTCCCCTTGGGACGGATTTTAAAACAGGCTGATGCCATATATTCGTGTCAGTAGTTTCCATTATCTATTGTCACGCGCAGAAAATGAGCCTGTAAACTCACTGAGTGTTGACTTCTCGAGCTTTTCAACCATATTTTAGATTACCATCTCTAAATGATGAAAAGAAGAAATGACACTAATAACAGTAGATTTATGCCATAAAATTACATCGGTTTACTTCAAAACTTTTAATAGAGATAGAAGTTTTTTATACTGCCTATAAAAAGATCAAATGTATGCTTGAGTATTTGTTATAATCTTTTAAACACGTTGCAATACATGTTTCGTATGCAACCTATGGGTTTGCGTCTTTGTTTCCTTATTTCAACTAAAGTCGTTTGCGTTTTAGTTATGTGTTCTGGATCATTCTCATCTTTGCTCTTGACGTTCTTACAAAGCAACCACAAAAACCCAGGAACTAGTGACCCTTTTTGCTTTGTATTTGGGGTTTGAGGTCACTATGGACAGTGACTTTCAAACGACGGTAAGCAGTAAATAAATATGTGCATCTTTACTGTCTCACCCGTTGTCCGTCTTGTTCTATTCGGCTCAACCTTTTTGTCAAAGGATCGTTCACGTAAATCAAATGTCAGTATATCAAGATTTAGACTGGGACTGCCAAGAATAGCTTTATAATTTCGTTTCTTAAAACAGATATATTATTGGCGACCCCAAATGTACCTCTTAAGTTGGAGGATTTGTCACGTTGTGTTCATTTGGCTGTTCGTTTGACAGTACAGATCTGTAAACTTAACTGTAACCCTCTGTAATGTATGAGAACATGGGAAGTTTTACTGGTGCGAAGTTATTTAGTCTTTTTTACCTTATGACCTTGTTTCCTCCTAATAGATGATCAGCTGAGTTTATGCTGTCTGTGTGGTCAAACGTTTCCAAGTATCAAGTCCCTTCATATGCACATTAATGTTGTACACGAAGGTAAGCTTATTTAGTAGATTTCAAATTTGGCTTGCTATCAACAGTTTAAAATAATGCTACAGCAAATATTCTCTGTCATGGGGTTTGCCAAAACTATGTTTGACTTTCATTTATCGCTAATCGAATTACAATAAAGGTCTTTTGTTCTAAGTATTCAACTAATAAGTACTCATGTTCGAACTCTGCCCCAACTATATTAATTTATATAGCCAAGTGGCAGCCGATAGATTTTTTTATCCTAACATTTCGGCTTGATTACAGAGATAGTTCGTTCTATTCCTCGTTCTTATCCTCTTTATATTTGACCACTACATATTTTTCTCATTAGCTTCCGACTCATAAAAAGTCATTTTTCATTTTCACTGTATTTAAACTGATAAGTTTTGTACTTGAAATATAAAGCGAACTGTTTATTTTGTAGTACATATAATATGAATATGTATTTCACTTGACGTGTTCGTGTACCCATATGTTCTAGTTCAGCCATTTTTAGTATCAAGTTTGACTAGGTATTCTTAAGTCTACCTTAAAACTGCTTTTGAAATCCAGAAATCGCATTCTTATTTCTATTTAAGGATCTACGATTTTTGTCTCTACTAAGTCCAGCGTTTCTGTCAATATTTTCATAGGTTGTTGTTTTAGATAAACATGTTGACGGAAATAATAATCCTAGATTTGTTAAGAGAAAACTTAAGGATCTTCAGCATTAATTTTGAATCTGTCACAAACTAGCTGGTACATCGAAGTAGTCTGTCTACACATAATTCACTCAAATTCAAAGTAGTGGGCTTCATTATTGCAAGTATATTCCACCACCGTTGCTAATTTTAAAGCTGACTCGGTTGTAATTGGTAGTGACGTAAGACACGATAAAATCTTACATTTGTATTAAATTTCACTAACTTTTGGAATGCTACAGACAGCAGCAATATTCGCCATTCATGTAACGTATCATAAATTAGCCCACTGGCGAGACAAGATGGAGGAAGATTGTGGAATGTTTTCAGAACATTGAAACAACTAACAGGCGTTTATGTTATTTAAGGAGTAGTTACGAATTTTGAGTCCACTTATGCGGGTCGAGAAACCTGGTTTTCAAATTGGTAGCTCACATTAGCCCCGGGTTCTTGTTATAATTTGTGACGTACGTATATATTGTGGCCACAGATTATTCTGATGATACATCTTTCGACGTTGCTCTGTTGCTTTTCCGATCAGATAACTAGGTCTGAAACTACTTTATCCGATGTGTCAGAAGACCCAATATCTATAATCAAGGACTGACGACAGATACAATTTATTCGTCATTACTTTCTTTTCCCCAACGGGTCGTAGCGTATACGCCGTTCAGAATCAGTCTAATTATCAATTAATTCTCAACAAGGCTCATTTGGTAGACATCACAACACGAACTACTAACACATATGCTCTAGTTGAGTGTTTAGGTCAAGAATTGAGCTTTTCAGCCAGCTAGTGTGAAGTCGATGTTTTCAGGTTGGACAATACAGACTGTCTTCTGCTGTGACATGGAGTGTCGTTAGTTTTACTTAGTCCCGTACACCTAATCTCACGTTTACTTGCTCGGTGGTTTCACCAAACGGCAAGTGTTTCACTGACTAATACAAATTTGTACATCATTCTTTTTACCCAGATGTTGGATCCATTTTAGCAGTTATTTGACAGTCAATTTATGTGATTACTCTAGATTGGCTTAGAATTTAGTAATTTATCTCAACAGTATATCCACTTTCATAGCTGCTTCATCGTAAGTTGAGAGCAGAGAATGAGATCCCAGGTCTAGTTTGTATTATGAATGTCCGTTTACTCAGAAAAAGGATAGGGCGGCTAAACTAGTTATGGCATCAGTTAATGATGTCATTAAATATTGATCTAAGCCTTGTGAGCATGACAAATGCAATTAATGGCTGAATATGTTGGGTGTCACGGCTCAGGATCTTTTACAGTGGCGTAAATGCATTCACTCCCTATCTTCTCTTCGTTCTTAAATTCCATTATTCTTTCAGATACACCTTTCCATTATCTTTTCAAACTATATCATCAATTCTCGATCTTTGCTATTATATTCCATCTCCTTTACTATTGATCTTGTTATTTTCATCTCGTCATAGTTATATGGTTTAGCAACTTTGGCCAGCGTAAATCTTATCAAACCTCTACTTTGGTTATGGCTAACCACGTTTGTTCGCCGCTATTGAACATCATTTTATCTCCTAAAATCTCACTGTCTAATAGTTGACTACGTTGAGGAAGGTCAAACTACTCATCATCAACTGTAACAAAACATTTGAGACCTTCATATTTATAATTTCGATTAGACTATAATATTATACCATTCATTGAAGCCCTCTATTAGTGGTGTAAACGGTCGTCTAAGCGTATTTGTTTAGGTCTACCGAGTAATAGCAGCTAGATACTTTGAAAGGAGTAGTTAAGGAACGAACACAAAATCACACTTTCATTCACTTCCTATCTTATGATATTTAAAGCTGTTATTACTCGCCATTTATTTCCCAAGACTACTTTATATCCTTCCCTATTTCATTATTTTTTAGACAAGGTACGTCAATTTAAATCGTATTATATTTTTGTGTAAGCCTCTGTGCCAGTATTTCTGCTTACCTTTGATGATCATTACAAATAATTTATGCTAAATTACAGTCCGAATCTAATGCTAATCTAACCCATTTACGATGTAAATCTCTTATATACAAGACTTTACACCTCACTTTGTGGACGCCATTGATATCACTCGGCTGCTCAAAAAAAGTGTTTAAAATGAGTTTCGAACTTACGATCTATTAGTTGAAAGCTTAGTGCCTTCACCACTATGCAGCTACTACTTTTATCTATTGAATAATCTAAATTTCTAGTCTAATTTTCCCATCAATGTAGAATATAAATTTATGCCAGGTAGAACGAATAAAATGTAAAGTTCCTTGGTTGATATAAACCAAATAACCAACTTTATAGAAATACTAATTGTTTTCCCCTTTGATTCTTTTAGAAGTGGCAGACTCTTTTGATTTTCAGTTAACAGATGGTGAAAACGACGACTCTCATTCAGTAAGTTCAGACTATTGAGATGTTTTTGAATAGATTGTGAAAAAATATACTACTTTCGTCTACTTTTAAAAAAGAACTGTAGTTTTTACTATTTGTTATGTCTTTAATGTAATCTCTTTTCAAATTTCACTGGACCAATATGGTGATTATCCGAGTAAAAGTCCCTTAATAACGTGAGCGAAGCAAGAATTCTAATCAAGTTTAATTTTATTAGTTTTGTGATAAATATGTCATATACTGGGATATGTTATTCGTGATGAAATAACCGGACTCATGTGTATTTTATTTATTTATTTGAGCACATAAATATTGGTACAAGAGGGCACCAAATATATATGCGCCACAGTTTTGTGTGTGGGCTGTGATACTGCCCGAGTGCCCAGACCGAAACAGATGGTTTTCTTAGGGGGCCATGCCCCGAGGCTTTGACCTAAGGGTCTGACCCACAAGGCAGTGGAGCATCGTGAGGAGATGCTTCCCATGATAGCCGGTGACCAACGATTGGTTCATACGCTTTTCGTCCTCTCATTTTCGTAAACAACACCCCCGCCACGAGAAAGCAATGTGTAAGACTTCCCTGGCAGAGGCTGTATACGTGTGGCCGTAAATGAACAGTAGTCATCTCTCAGACTGGACGGCTAGATCAATGAGAATTCACTGTTAAATAGTTTAATAAACATTCAACCCCACACTACCCACTCTCAACTTTAACAGGAAATCGAAGTCAAACCCCCAACTCTTAGCAAAGTGAAAGAAACTTTGATTAACTTTATTCAGGTGGGATTAATATATTGTGACGGGTTGATTTCTTAAGTTTGAGATCTAGGTGTAATTCGGTGTCATTGGTTTCATATTTTTGTGCTGAGGCTGTAAAGACAAAAATTAGATCTAACGCGTCGTTTGTTTGCGTTTAATACTGAGTGAATTAGTATATAACTCAACTTCAGACACTAAAAGTAGCCAAAACCTTGAAGTTCGAGCTCAACATGTGCTATATTAAACGCCTATGGATATTTTGTCAAAAAGTTAATCAGACATTGAAATTTACCCAACAAATGCTGTTCATCGCTCTCACCAACTGCTGCATTTGATGTTTTATACAGCCTAATGTTTTTAAGCCTCGTCTACCTGTACTTCGTCTAGTTGTAGATCGAAAGTTTAACCACTAACTTCGACAGTGTATTTTTTGGTTTTTACAGTACTAATCGTCAATATTCCTATTAATTTGACTATCGGCTTATCATAAGAATGGTTGATTTTTCTGGACTTTTCGTGGCACTATGGATTCTACCAATAAAATCAGGCTTTGTGTCCTATTTCTCTGCATTTACTAGGACAGTGGCTTTCGTAGAGGCATTGTTTAGTCAAATAATGTGCATCCTACCTCCAGTAGATAAATAGTAAAGCCTTCCTCAACACTTTAGTAGATTATTTAAGCAATGCGGTGGATCCAAGAGACTTAAGATCAAGATTACATAAACTCCGAAATTGCCGTAATTTCTAGATTAGGCAAAGTAATATGCTTGACGTAATTTATCTATCGAAATTCTGCTGTGACATCAAAATTCGATCCATGGTCATTATCAAACTATTCACCAATATAGTTCTGATGGCGACAAATTTCGCAGATTGATAACATCAAATGAGATCAATAACTCACCAAATGGCTTCCAAAGTTGCTAAATTCGATTATTCATATTGGTAGACAATCTGACTAAACTTCTCTTATTTTACCCATCTTACGCAACCATACTTCATGGTGTCATTAAGTATGAGGTCTGCCATAAAACTGCTCACCGTGGTGAAGTCAGAGATAAACTAAAAAAGTGTAGTTTGTTTTCATTAGATAACCTTATTGGAATGCTGAAAACGTCATATAAGATCCCTGTTTCAGGAATTTTACGGGACAAATAATATTCTTACATGATATTGTCTTGCTATACCAAATTATACTAAATGGTAACATCATTTTATTCAATATGCTACAATCTTATTCTTCGCGTTCTTTATTTATTTTTAGGTCACCTTAGGATCGCGATCTCACTGTCATCTAGTAGTGAGGAATTTATATCCAGTAAGTAATGTTTTTACTCCCTTGGCAAACAGTCATAAGTTGTTTGTCCTGCTTTCTTTCTCATTCTAAAATACTTAGAAGATATTAAAATGAAAAGAATTTATTGTCACAGATAATCCTCATTCTTAAGTTTTGTTTATTGGTTATGAATTTATAAAAGTAACCTAACAAGGCTTCACTCCTATTCTTACGCTGTTATTATCAGCAACATTTAGAATCCTGTGGAGTTAACAGTCAATTCTAGTGGGCTAATTTTGCTGTAAACTATGTTGAACTCTTCACTTCATTTCTTGAGTTCTTTTTTGTGCTCAACTAACTTTATTGATTCAGTTCTTAAGATTGATTGGTGTTTACGAATATGTTGTGAATTCTCGGAAAAATCACTGTGAAGTATATTAATCAGTTTGTATTTCGCGTTTGTTTACCATAACACTGTAAAGAAAAACCATTAATACTAAATTGTCTTTTAAAGTTTTTCGCAACTGCATTTTAATTAGTACCGAATCTCCCATTCAACGGTGAAAGAATTTCGTTGTTTATATTTTTTTCAGGAAAATTCTTTTTTTATTGTCGTGGACTTATTTGTACCCTACTTTGAATATTTATTAATATTACTCAAACATCAGATGTACAAAGTTATACACTCAGCATTGAAGTACACTTTGTGTATGGCTTATTGATTCTGCATGGGTTTCTAAACCACAATAGGTATATATATATATATATATATATATATATATATATATATATATATATATATATATATATATATATACCATTCTTTCCCAAACAATATTCTTCTTTACTGTTTAGAATTATTAGAGCACGAACTGGCAAACCTGTTAAGTCTTTAGATGGCTGAATACATATTTATGTATTGGTTTCATAATCATTCTAATAATATCCTCTTTACTTTAACATTCAGAGCCTGAAACTCCAGTTGTTTGTCCGAATTGTAAAAAGCCGTTTCCTGGTCTCACAAGTTTGCGAGTTCATATAGATTCTGTACATCATGGTGAGAGTTTATACCATTAATTGACTTAACTGTTTATTTTGAACATAAATAACTAGTGTATAAGTTGAAGAAAGTTCAAAATATTTGATTATAGTTTTCATTACAGACTAGATAACCGTTCAAAAAAATGAAAACTTTCAAAGTAATATTCTATTATAATTTGATGCATTTCAACAATTCACTTAGTTTCCTCGAACTGCAGTTAAGGTTTGAATTGTTAATTTAACACTTTGGCTGCTAATAAACTCTTAGTAAAGTATTACATATTCAACTTAAGAAGCACTTAGTTTATCTTGTAAATGATGTTAACTACTTATAATTACTATTACCGATTGGCTGCCGGAAAAAATCTGGTTAACCAATAGTATACATATTAAGGGATTGAAAAAATATATATACTAAATACTTAATCAAGATAGTATGACTTACCAAACAATAAATGATTAATCAATGCTAAAAACTAAGGTTATCAAAAACTAATATTTTTGTAATTATATTTGAAAGTAGCTAATAATAAGATCCCAAGTGCCAACATGATGTAAAGTAGAAAAAGAATAAGTTGAAAACTTGGTTCATTTCAAAAAACCAGAACACTAAATTTTCATGAAAAACTAATTATCTTGGGTAAAAGTATATGAGCCTAAAAAATAATTGTGACGAATTTCTAGCCAGTTCTTAGTCAGTCAGAAAACAGCTTTTATAAATTGGTATTTTATGGAAAAGAAAACATTAATATTGCAAAGTGTAATATTTACTTATAAATCTATTAATGCTTTGACAAATTCCTCTGTAAATCGAAGAAACAACAACGTATAAACTCGTCTTTATGGATAAAAATTGTCCATCTCAAACCCCTATAAGGACTCAAACAAATTTTTAATCGTCTTTATGTTGTTACTAGTTAGAGTTAGGTATTTAAGATTGAGGTTTTCATCCTGAACTGACTTCAGCTACAATGTAAATGCTCTGCAGTACTATTAATGAACTAATTCCGAGCGAGAATAAAATTTACGGACGACCTTTAAGCGATGCTAAAGTGACCTTAGGAAAATTCTTCTACTCACTAAGATCATAGGCACAAGAGGCGCTATGTAGTTAGTTCATCCACAAGATGCGATGTCACCAAGTTAAAGTTCGTTTTCATGATTAAGTTTTTAGAGGTAAGATTCAGGGATAGCGTCGACTTGTTATATACAAACTTAAGGGACAGAATTAGACATTTGATGAGTTTAATACTATCATTTTTACCACATAGTTGAAGAAAATAATTTTCCGATGTCATTTTAAACGTTTAGATCAGTATACAAACGTATTTTTGCTGCTCTTAATAAATGACATTTGGATTTCACACAAAAACGTAGAACGCATTCTCGATTCTGATTGGCTTGTCCCTAGAATATACTTTTGCCATATCTTCTTGATTCGTTTGTTAGCATCAAAATGTTAAAGACAAACTAATCACTGCACCCAAATTTAACCTTACGCTGAACATGTAACTGATCGGATTCCATCCTGCTATTTGTAAAGCAAATACGTCACAAATACTAAAATCATATAGATCGTTTACCGACGAATGATTTTCTTTCTGTAGAGGTTAACTTATTTTGGTACTCATCCATTTAGTTTCTTATATTGTCTGTTTTAATTAAAAGTGATAAAATATCATTGAAGACCATCAACTGTTTGAAAAACTGAAAATGTTAAAATAATAATTGGGGATTTATTAAGAACAAACACAATTGTTTCCCACAAAATCATTAATAATTCCTTGAGAGGATTTTATAAAGGGCAACTATTTAAAGTACTTTACATTTTTCACCATTCAGAGTAGTGAGACTTTTTAAAATGAACACTAAACTAGAACTTTTGTCGAATACCTCGCAGTGAAAGCATTGTACATGTTTCTTCTCTGGGATATTTTTAGATAACAAATCTGATTTTGTGATCAATATCTATCTTTATAGTCTATATTTAATTAATATTCTCAGAGATTTACTTCTAACTTAATAGATTTATGTGAACATTTATTATCCACTAGGTAATCGAATACCTCAATGTGATTATTGCATGAAAAAGTTCTCCACATTATCCTACCTTCGAATGCATATTTCTACTGTTCATGAAGGTTAGTTATCATTTGAAATATTGCTAATTGTTTGGTTATCCAAAAGTAAATATAAGAGCATAATAACTTTTTCCGATATTATACAATAAGATGCAGATCAAGTACGTTTAAAGCATAAAACCAAAGCTTTTGTACGTGTCCAACTTACAATTAGGATGTACAATGATAATCAAAGCGACGTTTACATAAAATCATAACTAATAATCGTAGGAACACTACAGTTAACCTTTTGAACTAAAACTCAAACTTTTTACTTAATAAAAGTGTCTTGAAGCAAGATGTGAGACAATTTTTTGCTCTCTCCATACCTGTGTTTATTATTGTGTCATCGCTAAATGTTTTTCAGCAAGTAGTTTAAAAATTGTTGTTTGTAGTAAATATCGTTTATCTAATATTTCTTGTTCAACGTAATAGTTTTGTGATAATTGCACACGCTTGTCTGTTTATACTCTTTGCCTATGTCAGTCACTCATCCACAACAAAGGACCAGACACTTATAGGTATCAGTCCAAGTTACCATACCTCATTAGCACAACAAGATGAACACCGAATTCATAGAAGTAGTCGCTTCAATGTTAGTAATATGTAACAGAAAGATTGCATATAGGGAAAAAAGAATCAGTTGGTAGAAAGAAGGATATAAAGTAATTTTAATCTCACTGTTTATGGGAAGACAAAGAGTGTATACATCCACACCATTGTGATCGATTCTGAGCCATGTCACCCAGAGTCTCCAACCATTAGTTAAGATAGTCACGCTAACCCTAACCAAATAATCTGCATCTGCCAACATGGTTCAGACCAGAAGTGAATGACCTCATGGACTGATTTCACTTTTTGGCTTGGTCACCCTTCGATTTCTTCCAACCGTCTCCAACACTACTCAGCATTGCGCCTCGTGGTAATCGGTATTCAGGTATACGTAACACATGGCCTAACCATCTCAGTCGATGAAGATTTACAACCCTCATCCACTTGTGTACCATCATTTCCTAATACATTGCGTCAAACATCACTTACAGTATACTTATCCCTTGATTGATAGACGGATATCTGGCCTTTGCCATATGTGACGTTAGTAGGTAAAAGCCAAACGAACTTTCTGAATTCGTGCAGAGCTTTCGTCATATAACAACCCATTAGTGCTGATCAGACTTCCAAGATGAGTGAAGTTATCGACGCGTTCGACTACTTCACTCCCTATCCTTAGTTCAGGTGTTGACGCAGGCCATTTCTGAAACAACAACTTGCATTTAAACGGGGAGTAGTCTACTTGACATAATTCAGATAATTGACAGTTTTCATTGATTTGTACACCAAAATACATAGAAATGAAATTCAATTTATTTCATCTATACTAATTGTTCTCTCACACCTCAATCTAGGTAATTAGTATCTTATGTTCAAAGTAAAGTGCGTGCAAAATCTTGCAAATAGATTAAAAATAATCAGTTTTAGTTACAACTGTTGATCAATATTCATAAATACGTGTTACATTAAGTATTATCGTATTATTTTATATCGTAAAATCCAAGGTCACTGTGAGATTGGTTGTTATTACCGCATGTTTATGCATAACTTCATTTGTGAAAATGTATGTTATCCCTTAATGCAGATTAGAGCTGTGCACGTTTTGTATATTTCACACTCTAGTATTGTTAGTAGTAGTTGCAGTAGTAGTAACCGTAGAAAGGTTCCCCTTTTGTTTATAAGATCCTCCTGGCTTTTACATAAAAATCACTCATATATATTTGGCTCAATCTTGTACCAATATTTATGTGTTCAAATAATAAATAGAAATAAAAGAAAGAAGGAATGCGTCGTGGGGAAATTTTCCACTGTTGCGTTTTTCTTGCTTGTTCATGTCATTCCTGTTTATTTGCAAGCATGTCTTTGAGTGCGTACGTACTTTTTTTCATGTAACTACCTATGTCTAGAGACGTTATTAGATATTGCTCAGAATAGAAGCCAGTGGCGATCCTGCTATAACCTTCTTTTACTTTCTTCATAAAAAGTGGTTGTGTCTCCCCTACCTGAAAGATTTCTTCTGAATTGTACCTTTCCGTTCCCTCGTTACTACCACACTACCTTACACCAATCTCTTCGTTATTGTTCTCTTTTTCTTTTGCGCTCCTTAGTTTTTTTTTCTATTTCTCTTCGAATTCTCATTGTTTTGTGTGGCGCATATATATTGGCGCTCTCTTGTACCAATATTCATGTGTTCAAATAAATAATGAATAAACTACCTATGTTTTGTGGTTTAGACACGTGATTGATACTTAAATTCGCAAATTAATATCATGTTTAATCAAATCATACACAAAAAAATCTTAATTGAGATCTCTCATAATATACGAATCACAGGGCTACTGACATATTACATACTTGCTAAAAGATGCATAACTATATGGATTGACAGTTTTCTACTGCGCAACTGTGATAGATAACTATATTAATATTGAAGTTCGAAAAAATACAATTATGGTAAAACACTCAGTTATGAAGTCAATGTGAAACAGTTCGTTTTATGTAACTTTTATACTAAATGTAAAATTCATTTCCATCACATGTATTAAACATTTCATAAACAATGCTTCATTCCATAGTAGAAACATCACAAAACTTCATTTTATTCCATAAACTACCCCCTTGTGATGTGAAGTGTAAATGCGAACACCAACATTTTATAACGTCCAAAGTTTTTTCACCACTACAATCTACCTCAATGCTAAATAGAAATCTTATTATCCATCATATCTTTCAATCTCGTTGTTTCAACGTAGTGTTGATTCAATATCAAAGTGAACCGCGGTAGTGAGTCTGCAGTAACAATGAGAGGAAATCAAGTGATAATATTGGTATATCAAACATACTTCCTTCAATGTAATTAATCTATAAACTAAACTTGTTACCTTGACACTTGATTTTAATTGTCATAACTTGAAACCGTGACCAATATCGCTAGTTTTTAGGTTTTTTTCTCTGAAATGTTTCATAATCTTTCAGAGCATTTTCATTCATTTCGTAATCATTTAGTTTTGTGTTTATATTGTTTTAAAAATAGGTATTATCTTCCCCATTCTTTACATATTTTTTAATCATTACTCAGGTGTCCGTGCATATTCTTGTAATATCTGTGAGAAGAGTTACACTCAAAAGCATTCTTTGAAAAAACATCTTAGAAATTCTCATTCAAGTATGTTTCTACGTCCACGTTATCTGTGTTTTTTTGTTGATAAAACCGTAAAGAAATTAATAGTTTCAATAAAATACAAGATTTTAAAGAATGAAGTGTATTCCAAGAGCTGTGGGTTAATGATACTACCTTATATCCTAAACTAAATTAAGTGGAGCGGGGCTCAAAATTGGGGATTAGTAGCTGAGAGTCGAACGCCCCAGCCATTAAGCGACCGCTTAGTGGTACACAGTCATTTTACAAGCACATTTTACTACATCGGAAAAAATAAATTTCCGTTCCTAGAAAATAACATTTGAAATTGTCAACCGGTCTAAGTTAGACAGCCACTTTAAACTTGGGAGCACTGGACAGTCGTTTCGTCCTAACATGGGACTTCTCTCCAGTGCACATCCACGACCCCGCAACTGGATATCAAACCCAAGACCTCCAGTTTCACGTGCGGACACTTAACCTCTAGACCACAAAGTAAATATTCAACTATTTTCATGTCTAACTCTAATTAATTTATTATATTGTGTCACCATTTTCCATTGTGCTTTGTGTGTACCTTCCTCACACTCGACACGGTCGAACTCCGCTGGTCATATCTTCTCACTAAGACTTCAGAAATTTCCTCTCCAAGCTGTTTACTAGTAAGCGCATGGTAAATGTCTGTACGGGGCTGTGGAGATTGTTGAATTTCACTATAATCATGAGTTCGTGGGTGCATAATGCTGAGAAGTCTCATACTAGGAATAAACAGCCGTCTAATGCTTTCACGCTGTCAGTGGTTATGATTTCAATGAAATTTAACAACTTTTACAACCCTATACTGATAACTACCTCTCTCTACGTAGCCCTAAATACGTAAGTATTTTATTAAATTATATCTATGCAAAAAGAGATTGATTAAGTTAGTGCAGTGCTTAAATATAATAAATCTTGTTTTCATACAACCCATATTTCACGGATAATTTCGATTAACTAATGAACATCTCACATTTCGGTTGACATTAAGAACAGACTCAATAATTATCACATATTTTACGTAGACTGTGAATTTGAATACGATAATCTCTGTATTCTTGGATGAAGAAACAGTTGACTAGTCAAGTATTATCAAACAATATAGCATGTTCTTTGACCATATTTTAGCCTATAAGAGGCTTATTGCACGTCGTCTGGACACTATAATTTATGCTTCAGAAATTTTTTAAATTTATGATACCTATCAACGATGACCCATACATTTTATTTTTTCTATTTAGTCTCATCCAGTCAAGACATACTAGATGATTTAGGATCAACTAATGGGGTACCGAATAAATCTAGTCAGTCTGCATGTTCCAATGAAATGCGTACTTTTAAATCACGCAAAAGGTTACTCGTTGATTCTCCAATCATACCTAATTCCTGTAGTCCTAGTCCATCTAGGTCGAATGAAGTAAGTGCCTACTTCAGTGATATGATTCAAATGCACCACTGACTTTTCCAATGTTCTTTTATGTGCAAATCACTTATCTTTATTTACCGGTGTTCTATCCAAATCACTTTTAGTTTAGGAATATTATCATTTTTGTATCTTAACCAATTTTCTTTGGGTTACTCAAACGTGCCACTTTTTGGAGTACAGAAATATTTGTTCTACGATTATTCATGAGTGCCAGATTTATAGTTAATCTTATATTAATTATTTACTGTTAACAATAAAATTAGGAAATTCATTTCTTAAATAGGTTTGTTCAAGTATATTGACAGGAAAGTACGTTGCTACTGAATAGAAAAGCTACCAAACCTTATGAAGGTTTTAAGTGGCTACTTCAAAATGTACGATTTTTACTCAGTGGTAATGTAAATTTATACACCTAGTTTTAGCCAGATGTATTAAGTGAAGGTTTAGTAATACTGTGATGTTGCTACTTACGTCTATTGACATAAGTAGCATGTAACACCAATCGGAAGTGGAAAACCTTGCAGCAGAAGACTATGAAGGTTGACTTAAAGGAAACAGAAACGGAATTAGAAAGGAATTGCTAATCGGAAGAATCATCCAAAATGTGAAAGACAAATGATGGAAATTTGCAAGTGAAGTATTTCATGTATTTATGTATCATTCCCAAGGTTTGATTTGATAATTTCGAATAAATTGAGCATTGGGTAGATTGTTATAAATAAATAATATATTTGTAATATCCCAATGAGCAGAAAATTAGATTTTCTGACGTTTCATGACTTAGTGTAAGTCACTTCTTCAGAGAATAAATAACCAAATTAAAATGATTCCAAGCTTAATTTGGTTATTTATTCTCTGAAAAAGTGACTTACACTAAGTCACGAAACGTCAGAAAATCTAATTTTCTACTCATTGGGATATTACAAATATATTATTTATTTATATTTCATGTATGATTCTTATATTCCACCACGATACTCTGTAGTATATATATATATATATATATATATATATATATATATATATATATATATATAATATTTAGCTACTAGAAGTTTATTTTGTCGTATAACATTCTTGAAAGCCTTATTACATGAATTCACTTCACCTTACTAATTGCTCCATTTCCATATTATATGACAGTTTCATAATACTATTTACAACAACTTTTCATAATGAGTTTATATTACCTGTAATCAAAGGATTCTCATCGAAGTTTACCATACTGTGAATCTTAGGTGGACGGTCCTGTTTCATTGGAAACTAAGAATCGCCAAATCAGTTGATGACATAAATGTAAGTCACAATGATTTTTTCATATTCCTTGACGTTACTTTCGAACAACATTAAATAAAACTGTTGTGGTACGTGGTGTTATTCAATACAATTACAGTTAATCAAATTTATACGCAATTTTTATATATGGTTTACGATAAAGGCCTCATTTTCACAGAACTTACAACCAATAATTACATGATTTTCGAGGTTTCTCAATTTCAATAAATGCATCTTAAGCAACGTCACAATAAATCACTTCATCTCAATGGAATTTTCTAGTATTTCAAGTCACCTAAATTTATATCAAACAACTACATAATCTACTTACCTAACGTTTAACAACAAATGAAGTGCATAACTGTAACTTGTCACTTAACCTTGTTAATAATTTATTGACTGCTACGTATTTATGAGTATTTTGACAAATTATGTCTCTAATTCGCCTAATTTATGATGTACTCTTCATATAAGGTTATTGCTGCATCCTTATCTCGTAAACTTATATGTTTTGTGTCATCATAGTTTTCCATGAATTCAATGATAAATTACGTAGTTTTCTGTACTGTATATGGATCAATTGATATATTTTGGGTTTTTCTTTTCCCTAGACATTCGATTAACAGATATTCCTTCGGATAAAACTTTCGTGCAACTTTTTTGTATTTAGACGCACAAATAACCATGAACCTTCCAATCTTCAAGCAGAGTATTTTTGTCTACCTCATCAATTAAACTGACACCTACCTACCTCAGTTTATATGGTCTCCATTATTGCATTTATATAGTTCAAATGATAACTTTTCATACCAAAAACCGGTTCGCTGCAGATTTTTTTGAGTTTTTTAAATTTGGTTTTCAAACAATTGATTATTAACACATTCTTTGTATTATGTTCTAAATCCAATACTTTTGCTATCTGAACAGTGTTCTTTAAGCTATTTTTGGACCAAATCTTCATCTGTATTCGCGATCTCATCTAATGTTGGATTTTTTTCAAATATTTTTGGACTTTGTCTTATTTCTCAATGCTTTGTGACGGTTGATATATATATATATATATATATATATATATATATATATATATATATATATATATATATATATATATATATATATATATATATTACAGTAGTAATCCTGTAACTGAAAATCTCAGAACTGTTTAGTCTTCTTCTCGCTCTAGTTTTTTGTGGTACGTTTTTCAGATGAAGAGTTTCAATATATGTGCTCTTTCCGCCTTTTTCATCTTTATGATGTGAAGATTTGGTCTACATGGTAGTATTTACGTTAGTAGATGTCAGTCTGAAAAAGTGCGTATGAGACGCATACGAAAGTGCAAGAAAACGAATAGTTTGAAATCACAATAATCCTTATAGAAAGAGTACTATATCATCGATTAGTTACTAAATAAAATGAGTTTATGCTAAGGTAAGACTAAATCGAAATGGGGGGGGGGTGAGAATTCGGGTTAGAATAAAAACATGTTTGACCAGAAGTAGGCGAATGAACATGGCTCTTCCTTTTCTAATTTTATTGTTGAATTCACTAGTCAATTGAAGCTAGACCGTCATGGAAAACCTGGAAGCACTGAACGGCCGTTTCGTCATAGGACTCCTCAACAGTGCGCATCCACGAATCCGCCCCGCGAGATTGGAACCCAGGACCTATCAGTCTCGCGCGCGTACGCCTAACATCTAGACCACTAAGCCCGTATCCAACCGTGTTAATGTCTAACTTCAACTAATCCACGAAAATGAATCACCGTCCACCATTGTCTTTAGTGAGTTACTACCTCACAACAGACCCATTTTACTATCGAAAGCTTGTCCTACAGTCCAGAATAACGCACAATAAAGATATCTGGACCCCACTTGTGTAGGTTCTTCAAACTGAAACAAAAATCTTTTGTCGCTTTGTTCATATGACAAGGTTTCTAATACCTGAAAGAGCCCCATAGGAAATTACATAAACAGATGAAGGGAGAAATTGTTATACGCTCAAACCAGATAACGTCTATTCCTTACTTTGTATACCTAAAATATTAGCTATTAAAACTGCTTCCGTATCTCCTATAATCTCGAAAAGTAATCTGGATACCTCTCCACATTTTCGAAGTTTGTCGATCTTGCGCAACGTGAAACTTGGCACAAATATGCATCATTTCATGTTGCCTATGTGCACCATCGGTTTGGAATTAGGGTTTTCCAACTCACCTAGGTGGATACTCCATATCCACCAACTCGGTTAAAGCGCCAGACATTCGCTTTTCGTCCTCTCAATTTCATAAATAACACACCCACTGCGAGAAGGTAGTGAGTAGGACTTCCCTGGCAGAGGCTGTATACGCGTGGCCATGTGAGAGCATTTAGGGGTCGCACTTAACCTTATTCTAAGCCATCACTGCACGAACAAACACCACCTGTGGGAGTAGTTAGGTACGTATAGTACATCCTAACCACGTCAGTCAATAATGATTCATGACCTCACCAACCAATGTCATCCCTACCTATTACCTTCTGCCTAACCTCACTTTGTCGTTCCACAACATTCAAGTAATTCAGCCTACACGTCTTGTACTTTCAAAATTCGTAGAATAATTCAAAATAGGCTGCCCCTCGGTATACTCTTACGTCGACAGAAGTATATCTCTACTACACAAGTGATGTAAATTAAGAAAAAGGCAGATCAAATTTTTCTGAATCCATGATGAAATCTCCTCACACCGACTCATCTGGTTTGATTAAACTTCCAAAATCGACTAGTGTACTCCTTATCACTAGTTCGGGAATTTAGATAAACAGCAACTGAAGTAACATTTTACATTTAGAGCGATAGAAATATTGTCGCTCAAGGTAATCAAAATAGTGCAACATGGCGTATTAATCAAACAGGACTATATCACCTGCGTATTCTAATTCAACAAGTAAACCTGGAAAATCAGTCCTTGAAACGAGAATATTGCTTTTCAGGGCGATCTTTAAATACGTCCGGTAAAAGTGCATTTATTAGACGAACTTGAATTAAGGTTGATAGTTCGTCATAAACTCTGACTCAACGACATTAAGGGTTTGGAAGGCTTGCGTTGACTTTCCTTACAACTCGCTTGGTAAAAGTAAGGAACTGAAGGGTGGCTGTAGAGCATTTAAACTATAACGTCCAGTCTTAAGTATATTTGTGTTTAGCATGAAGATAGCTTGTGTGAGGTACAGCGTGTTTGAGAATCTGAAGAAGGAAAAGTTAGCTTATAACTCACAATGCTTCTACATTTAATGATGAAAATAATAGAAAGCAGTCGGCGTTAACAATCGTAAGATTAAGACAATCGAAATAAGAATTTGTCAGCATCAGATTTGAAATATACTAAACTGGTCTTCAGCATGTTACTATCATCACTTTGATCATTTGGCTGAGAGTGGGTCATTCGTCGTTTACCAGAAACCATCCGACTAACTCCTGCATTTTCGATGTTTGTTTCTTTGGAGAAGTGTCAGGGATTTTCCTTTTGAAAATCATGAGGTATACTAAAGAGGTTTTTTGGATTATATCTACGTTATGTCCTTTATTAAAACGTTTACTGGAAGATAAGGATTACGATGGGAACTATTAATAATCGGGCCTTACAAACATTATATCCTTAGTAATAATAATATTTTTACATAAGTTCATCTGATGTAACTAGTTATTGCTAAGTAACTCAGTAATAGTGAAACAGGCTTTCAATGTGTCAGTACTCATATATATGTTGGGGGTGTTCTGTCCTCTGAGCCGATTTATTCTGTTGTGAAGTTTCAAATCTTGATTTAAATGGCTGTGGATGAATTAGCTAAAAGTTTCGTCCCGAATGCTCCCGTGTTTAGTAACAGTAGGTTACCGGTGTTTCCAGGTATACTTCATAAACAGGAAAAATTTAGTAATTTATAGTGAAGCATTGTCCTAATTCCTTGAAGGTAAGTTAAGTCCCTTCTTTAAGGACTCCAGGTATGGTGCTTGAATCACTTCAGTCGGTAGCAAACCCCAAGACTTTACTACTCCCAACGAATAGGGGTATTTACAGTATAGTTTTGTGCTGCATCTTTAATTTATAGATAATAACAATAATGGTAAATTTCAGTCACTTGGTAATCGTATTGTAATCCTCCTGCACGTTTTTTGGTTGTATTAATATATTTGTTTTCCCAACAATTCTCGCTCACCTCTTGCTTTGTCCAGCAACATTTGGTCTTCTCACGACCTAATCATCAGTTAATTAAGCACAAACAAGCATAGACATTGTCGCTAATCGATGCCCATAGGCAAGATAAACCATATCACGGATTTCCTGGGAATTTACAGGTTTCCTGACTTTTTCTGCGATATTATTCTATTGGCTGCAGAAAGTGGACATAAACGCGCTGATAAATGAACGAATAGTATCAAAACAAGTAGATGGGTTAGGTTATTGGCTCATAACTAGGCTTTTAAGATCTTCACCCAGTATGAAATATCTTTTTTAGACACATGTTTTGGCTTTTTAATAAAGAAAGCATATTTTAATCAATTGAACAAAGTAATTTATGGCTTGGCACCAAGAAAAACATGAACACGATTGGATAGAAGTATATGTCTTGAGTCAAAATATATACAATTTTACAAGCTTTTAATATCCCTCAACTATTTATCTCAAGCAACTTGAACTAGCCGAAATCGTGCAACCACCCACAATGTGTAGCATGATGTGGAAGTTTCAACTTCTATTGATCAGTGAAGTTGCTCCATCCTGATAAGGTTTTTACGTCTGCTTTCTCCTCTCGTCTTTTCGTGAAGGATGTTTGACTAAGACAATCTCAACTAATGACCTGAACCAATCCAATTCATTCGTAAATTGAGAATTGTCGATTAAAATATGTTGCTCTACTAATAATTATAAGAGTTTTTGCGACCGACATTCTAAGGTTTAGTTTTCAGAGTGAAATTTCACGAATACCGAATCAATACTGATATTATGCAAACATTATTGAACCTTGTGTGT